TTTTGTAATGTATTAATTCCCGTTATATTTCTAATCTTTTTTTCAATAATTCGCCATTTTCTCGAATACTGATCAAATTTCATAATAATACAAATAACTTCTTATTATTTATGTTATAAATTATTAGTTAATGAAATCTAGACACACTAATGTGTTTTCACGGAAAAAAAAATTGTTCAAGACAGCAGAGATGGTCTTGTTTTGGTCTTGGTCTTGCAGCAATAAACCAAGACCAATTTTGATCATCACTGAGCATTTTGTCTATATTATGTTACACGTGGATCATAGATACAATGCAAATTACATCCTACTTATCTACTACCTATACCGACTACTGAGTACCGAGTATTTGTTACACAAGTACCTGGATATATACTTTATAAATGATTATGGTCTATGGACACTCCTCGCATCTTATACAGCAACTATATAAAATATATTATGTGAATGTGCCAACACAGCAAACTAGAATTTTATAAGTACCTACCAATATCTCCTTAAATCCTTACTGTTTAACAATATTTTGTTATTTTCAATTACGGTATAATTACTTTTTTGTTCAACCTGAGAGCCGACTCGGATCCATAAATTCTTCTTTTTGAAGCGATTTTTTCCAGTTTACTGCAGCAGTCTTAATACGTAAAATCATAATGTATTATAATTAGGTACAAATATTAGATCCTAATGTTTAAAACTTAAACTTTATTGTATATTAGTTAACCTTTATAGATGGTCACGTTTTTGTTCATTTTCAAAAAGTGTTATGTAAAGCAGACACAATTGACTATTATAATATATTAGACAAGTAAAAACACAATATAACTAGATAAGTAAAAACGTAAAAATTCTATTGGCATAATGGTTATCAACAATAAGAAAAAAATTTACAAACAAACCGTTGCTAACTAAATGTACCTACATGGATTTTCTCATGATATATATACCTACCTATATTATAATATAGCTAGATACTATAGTTTATTTATACCAATACGGCAATACGTTGTAAAGATTTTTCAATAATGTACCTAAGTTGTATTATTGATAAAAATATATTTTTATGATGCATCATTACCAAGCATGTGTATTAAGCATGTGTGTTTTTATGTGTATTAAAAATAAAAACTAATTTAATTTATTTATACCTATAGGAATTTGTATAATTTAGTTTTTGCCAGGTAGATACTCCTGTAAATCTTCAGTATTAATAGGTGCCTCGCTACGGTCATTATTTAAGGGGCAACATTTAGGCAAATTACTAATCTTGTCATAGCCACCCGGGGATTTTCTCATGATTATACCTACCTACCTATATTATAATATAGCTAGATATTATAGTTTATTTATACCAATACGTTATACAGATTTTTCAATAATGTACCTAAGTTGTATTATTGATAAAATATATTTTTATGATGCATCGTTACCAAGTATGTGTATTAAGCATGTGTGTTTTTATATGTATTAAAAAAAAACTAATTTAAATTATTTATACCTATAGGAATATTGATTTGTATAATTTAGTTTTAGCTAGGTATATACTCCTGTAAATCTTCAGTATTAAGGTGCCGCGCTACGGTCATTATTTAAGGGGCAACATTTAGGCAAATTACTAATCTTGTCATAGCCACCCGGGATCTATATTATGTTAGTTGTAAACACGATTAAAGATATATATCTTTAATCGTGGGGTTATAAATGATTATCAGTGTGAGTGAAATTAAATGAGGGTATTCTCTCTAGTACGCGCATGCAAATGTCAATAACTCGATAACCAAATCAATTTAACTACACGCGAATTTTACAAAAAGATACATTTGTTTGGACAAAATTAAAGTTAGTTTACGTTGTCTGATTTTGATTCTGAAAAAATATTTGAATGAAGCAGAAAAAATGTCTGTAGATTTTCCGTTAAACATTTTCCGTTTTAAATTTAAATTTAAATTATGATTCGAAAAAGTTGATATTTTTGAGTTTTCAATTACAGTTCACAATAATATAAAACTTAGATTTTACAAAGTGCTCCTTAGGATCTATAGAAAATTTTCTGGTGAGTTCAAATTTTTTTCAGAAACAAAATCGCACAACTTTAACTAGGTAACTTTAATTTTGTCAATACTTTAGGTCTTCTCAGCTAAATTTTACGACAGTAGCGAGGCCCCTTAAATCGCTTTCAACTGTCTATACATTTATAATATTATTTATCTTTTTAAAATGATTGTTTTGGCCCTTTAGATAGGTTCTAATGAGGATTATAGCACAAAATGTCACCCTTTGCATTAGAAACTGTTTGCCCGTTAGGATATAAATTCTGTTCAATTGGAATATACATTGAATGTTATATGTTCAACAAGCTATTTTTATTATTTTGCCATAATAATTCTTTTTTATTTAATTAGCCTAATAATTTAAATAACTTGTTTTATGAAATTATTTTAAGTTACATTGCAACTAGGTAGTAAAGTTGAAGTTAGATGATAGTTAGTTGATAGGTAATTTTTAGAAAAATATTGAAAAACGACATAAAATCATTTATTTAAATAAGGGTACCTACACTTCACATAAATTAACAATTTTTTTTATTTTTTTGTAATTAAAAACGAATAACCGTAGATAGCTATTTGATATTTTAACCAAATGTTTATTTTTAGATTCTGAGTGAAATGATGAATGTATTGATTTTACAATGATGTGTTTTTTTATTTTTGTGTCTGTCATCAAGGTTTGGGGCAGTAAAACAGCGTCCATTTTCTTGAACAGTATCTTGTTCGATGGGAAAATTAATTTAGTTAGTGTATTCAGGTCAAATTTTAAAATATCAATAGTATTTAAAAACAATATACAAATTAAGGAAAAACGAGAATTTTTAATCAAAATCGATTTTGGTTTTTGGTATAACCTTAAAACAAATAACGTAGATACATGAAATTTTCACTGGTAGTTTATTTTTGAATTTTCTATATACTATAAAATTTTTAAAATATTTTGACTCTTTTTGAGCTGTTTACAGACATTTTCAGTTTTCAATTTTTTTAGTTTTTTTTTCTATTAATATCAATTAAGTTTTATTTGTTGGGTAAAAAAGCTTGAAAATTTTATGCAAGGCTCTTGATATATTGTAACAATAGCAGTTGAAAAATATTAAAAATACATAGGCAATTTTTTTTTATAAGCATTTAAAGTTCGAATTTCGACAAAATGTATCAAATTTAAAATTTAATAATTATTATGTGGTCAAAGATTTATAAAATGTTCAACTTTTATAGCTAAGGATTGAAAATTTCAAACAATGGTCCACGTAAATAGGTAAATATATAAACTACTTTATTCACAATAATATCATCAAATATACTTAGTAACATCATAGGCTAAATGACTGTTTTCGCTCAGAATCGTTTTTCTTATACAATGATATTATATCATTGAATTCAAATTTAACACCATCCATTACAGTGACCCACTTGTAACCTACTGTACAGCAGAGCGACTTTTTAATTTTCTATACATGGTAACATTTATAAAATATTAAACTCGTTTTGAGCCATTTATATAGACATATGAACTTTTCAATTTTTCAATTTTTTTCTATAAATGTCAATAAAAAAATTTGTTTGGATTAAAAAGATTGGAAATTGAATATAGGAAATTTCTCAAGTTATAATAATAATTACAATTATTATTAAAAAATATTTAATATAGGTACATCGGTTACACAATGAAATTTTCAAAAAATTTAGATTCATTTAAGCTATTTCATATTTGCATCACAAACCTATTTACACTGTTCCACGGTCAGGAGGAATTGACTCAAGAGCTAATAACAATAATATGTGATATAAAAATATAGGTTAGGTATTATGATAGTTAAATGTTTTCAGAAAAAACTAAATCAACCTATCATAATTCTAATAGTAAAATAAATTACTTAAATAACCATATTGAAATATTATATATCGTGAAATATATTTCGTAATTTTGGTTGACCTAACCGCGTCCTCCCTCTGAATGGTTTTATGTATGCAATGATTTATCATTGAAATAGAATTAAATATATTCATTAAGTGACTTACTTAATGACAATGTTAACTAAAAACCTAACGTACAGCAGAGAGGTTACCTAATTCCCTCCTCATTCATATCAAGTCCAAATAACCATCTATTAAATTTACAAACTATATATTTTGTAAGAATCAGAATTACATTTGAATAAATGGACTAATTGATCTCAATTAGACAAAATAACAAACTATATCAAGTTTTTTTTTCCTAAGCATAATCGCTTTACTACGTAATCAGAGACAGTATGATTGACAATCTTTTAGTTGACATAACTGACAGTTTGTAATCACTTTCATTTAAGTAAATTTAGGACATTAAATTGTGTGCTTCTATTTAAAAATATGTCTACTAAATATTATAGTTGACATTTGACAGTGTAAGTTTAAATTATTTCAGTATTTATTACTATAAAATAATGAAAACCAGAATATAAAATATAAAATTAAATAGTAATACAGAAAAGCCTCCCTATTTGAGGAAAATCTCCTTACAACAGAAAATAACAACAGTCCCATATAACCTATTTAACCATATATTTTAGTTTCTTCATCACAGAAACTCCTCTATAACTAAAAAATCAATTGGTACCAAGCAGTTCTTTTACAAGGATCTTACAGTTTTACAATTCTTGATAAAAAGACACTTTAACAATATCTTATATTAACATTTAATAGGTAAATAAACACGAAAATGTTTATTTTGTAATTTATAAAATTAATAGGAAATGTCATACAAAACACCATTTTGTCTTGTCTAATTTTTTAATTGTAAAATAAAGTTGTTAATCAAGAAAGATGTACATATAATTAAACTTCAAGTTGTAAAACAATACAAATGTAAAAAAACAATAATAAAAATAAGTTTAAATTCAGTACAAATTTAGTTATTTAACTTAAAATTTACATTTAGTAAGACGAATGCAAGAAAAATTAACATAACAACTAGTTTTCATGAATATTGTCCCAGCTGAACGGTGGTGCATACCCAATCAAATATTTTAGACAGAAATATAAAATACGCAAGACATAGAACAGGCCTATCCAAAAGCCAGTGTTGTTAAACACCCAAATTAATGTTAACAAAAATAAAATCCAAGAAAGAGTATAGTATGATGCCATCCACCGAAAACTAATTGTGGGTGGAAGAATTTTAGGCGTTCTGACACGTTTTCCAGATCCATCATTTCTAGGCTCATAAGAAAATATCTTCATTGGTTTCCTTATTAATGTTTGACGCAGAACACCCGCAAACATAGAATTTTCTGTAGATAAATGCAGGATCTGTGAATTGCACTGAAAAGTTAAATTTATTTATTTATTAATTCAAAATGTTTTCAAATGTATTAGTACAATATATGACATCCTAAATGCACATGCAGAATATGTAATGAGTAGATATAAAATCAAATGTACCTACATAATATATACTTATACCTTGATATATAAGAGAAGGGGCCAACTAACAATCCTAATCCCTATTGGCAGGCTGTTAGGTTAGGTTTAGGTCTAATTTCAATTGTTTTTACACAACAATTTATTTTTTATAACATGTAATTATAAATATTATTTGATGTGTTATTATTTATTATTCACATGGTTTTGTTGTATAATAATATTATATAATATAATATAAGTATTTATATTAAGTGTTACAGTTACCTAATATAAACTAAGATATACAATATAAAGTATATCTTAGTTGTTGGCATGCAGAATGCATATTAATTGTTTTATATTTTATAAATTGGCTGGTATGAATTTTAATGTGAATCTTCTAATGAATCATGAATGATTTGATTCTATTACAATAATAAAATAATATCTTAATACTGTGTTTTACATGAAAAAAATTAAAAATAAAACAGTTAATGGCTTTATAATCCTGTCATTGAAACATGTCTATTTTAATGACATAATATTTTTAGCTCAATAGTTGTAAAGTACTTATATAAACTAATGTGTAACCTGTACACCTACATAAATAGGTAATAATTTTTAAGTCAACTAGTAAAATATGTGTCACTCAAAATGATATAGAATATGTTTTTGTAACTGAAAATTTGTAAATGAATATTATTATCACAAGAATTTTATTATTACAACGAATAATTATAAACTAAAAAGTAATATACAGTTAAATTGTTTTATTTTTAAATATCAAAAATATACACAAAAAAAAGAAAAGAAACATCATTATTGTATAATCAATACATTCTTGGCTCCGCTCAGAATCTAAAATGTATGTTAAATATATTATGATAATCGAATATTCAATGTCAATGAAAATTATTCTTCAATACTTTTTTTGAAATATTATAGAATGTTTTCATAATAAAAGGAAAATACTTTTTTAAATATCTTAAATGTATTAATACATTTTTTCAAAGTTATATAAAAAATGTAAACATTATATTTTTATCAATACTTTTGGAAATAAATATGATAAAATAAAAATAATTATTTGGTCATTGTTAGATCATTTCGTTTGTAAAATTCTAGATATATCTTCAAAAATATATGTATGAAGTTATTAATAATTTCTAAAATGCAATTACTATTTTTACTATTAATTTGCAATAAATATAGAGTCAAGTAGTTAAATAGTTTTGCTCGGTAAAAAAAATATGCTATACTCTGTTTAAATTGAATAAACCTTAACAAGATGAGTGGCTATACTACACGGGAGGTACACAGATTGTTGACTTGGTGGGGGTGACAAACTGATGTTACCTGACTGCCACCGACAAAAACTGGTCGCCCCCAAGGTCAGTTTATTTTGAGCAGAGTATAGTTTTAATGTTTAAAATTGTAGATAATATTATAAATTATTTAGTCTTAGATTTGTAAGAATAAAATCTGCATAAATGTTTAAAATAATTGTCAGATTCCAGGATTTAAGTATTATGTGGGTTACACTGGTTACAGGTCTATGCTGTTTAAATTTAAAAAAAGAACAGGAATTGTTAGGACGATTAATAGCTGCTATCATACCAATTGGCCACTCTCTTATATATGAAACCTCTGTACTATACACTATACTTTTTTCATATAAGAAAAAAAATCATACACTTTTGTTATTAGAAAAGAAAATTAATTATAAAACAAACCTATAATTCAGAGTTCAATTTTTAATAGTTTAGTAAGAATAATCTTTGATAAAAAAAAATTCTTTTACCTATATAGCTTATAAAAAAGATAAAAGTTAAAATAATTAAGGAATAAATAAATAAAAATAATATTTGTTTTGTCATAGTAATATTTTACAATTTTGTGTAATGAGTAATATAACAATTAATATTTACATGAATTAAAATCGTATTAATATTAAATATTCTAGTTTCTATACTAAAATACTTTATCATAAATATTATTATCTTAGATTTTAGATTTGGAATTTTATGTAGTGAAAGCTATTTAAGAAGTTGTCATATCCACATAATTTGTCTCCGCTCTTTCAAATGTACAACATAGCAAATTTCCATTTAGCAAAATCAATTTACTAAGATTAACTTTAATATTAGAATGAATCGACCATTCAAAACTTCTGTGTTTGTCATTTGTTTTTATGATATTTTATTTATTAAGGGAGTTATGAGCATTTTTAAATTGTTATATTTTACATAAGTTTATGTTTTTACTTTTAACTTTGATAATAGGCCATTCACACTTATATTAAATCTAACAAAACAAAATTGGTTCTTCTAATTGCAAATTGCAAATTGCTATCAGTCCAGTACTCCATTCCATTTGTAATACGGAGACAACTCATGCAGGAGCAAAGTCCTCTTAATTAAAACCTAAATATATTAAATTTAACTAGAAATAATTTATTAATTCCAAAGCACTAAACAACTTACATATAACTCAACAGTATTTCTTAAAAATTTGCTTAGATTGACAAGAAAATAGTTTTCATAGGATAAAGCTTCTAAGTAATCTGGGTCGATCTCCCATTCTTTTGCACGAATTACAGGTCTAAAAGATAAATTCATGGTACTCTGAAAATAAAAATGTATTAATTTAATAAATAATATTATTATATTGTACGATACAAAACGTTGATTTAACTTACACGTTCAAATGACTGAATAAGAGAATGACTTTTGTTGAATATACTTGAAGTAGTATTATTCCCGCTTACACCAGAAATAGACCATGCTGACAAATCTGCCATTATTGGCATAGTTGTAACATTAACATTCTAAAATATAATAAAAAAGAAACTATAAATAATTTTAAACTCTGCATTATCAAATTTAAAATATTCACAAGAATTAACATAGTGTTTTTGACCGGATATTGAAATATTTTAATTGGTCTTTAGGAATGTGAAGCATGTGCTCTAGGGTTAAAGAAAAAGTATCAATAACGTAATGTATGATATAATATACTCACAATAATTTGTTCCATGAACATTAATGATGATTTAAGATTAGTTTGAATGTCTTTCCATTCATTAAGAGTATAGTCTGACATTTTATTTTTTCTAGGTGATAAAATTAATTCCAACATAGATGAATTATTTCTACCTATTTGGTCTTCTTGATAGCGACCCAATTCTACAGCAACATGATCCAATGACTTTTGTAGTTTCACATAAAATAGTTTATACTGAAATTAGGAAAAAAATGTTTTGTTACCACAATTACTAACAATAATGAGTAATATAAATATAATAAAATATAATAAAATATAATAATAGTAATATAAATGACTTATCCACAGAACTATAAAAATGGAATGTGCATTGTATATAATTCATGCATTGGAAAGTGCCAACTTATCAGATTTCAACATTTTGATTCAATTGGCTATATTTTTTTTATTGAAATCATATAAAAAAAAAAAAACAAAATTCTTAGTAATAATGAATCGATGTCATTTTTATAAAAAAATAACCACAGATAACTGTATACCATAGATATCTGTGAGGATAACCATAGATATCTATACTATTTCTATAGTATAGAACCATAGAAGTATGTGATAAAATGAAAATTGAATCAATAATATGGTACTATTTGATAGCATCAACAGTATTTTGGTCCTATGCACATTCCATGTTTATTGTTTATAGTTCAGTGATACTGTGTTATGTTTAGTGACATTAATAAGTAATGTTAATAGATTATATAATAAAAAATAATTAACAATTTGTAGAAAGTAAACTAAAAAAATTAAAAATATTAATCGGCCAAGAGTTTTTCAGGTTCTCCATTCGTTATGATATCCGGGTTGTAGTTATTTCATTGGTCTTATTTTGAAGTCGTTAGATTGCTTTAATGCTATCCATTTTTTATGTCGTTTGTGCTCTGCAGGTATTGTAATTTTGTGGTTGATTACGAGAAGCTTTTCCTTGATTTAAGTCTCCTTGGTACTGATTGGTGTCCATGGAATGGGTGTCTTTTGTTGTATATCTGAGCTATTCTTTGGGTATCACTTGCCACGCACAATCAATAATAATAATATTTTTTAAAAGTATATTATGTTCCTTTATTATTTCTTTTATTAAATTGAATTTGATGTACATAAAATAACTAATAATAATGATAAAACCTTTATCCTGTGTCAATTATTTTAAATAAGAATTAAAAACGGATTAAACTTAATATACATTAAATTGATTTTAAATCATGTATGAAAAAAATATGTGTATCAAATATCTCAATGATTTTAAATAATAAAGTAATATGTTGTTAATTTTTTACACGCAATAATACCTAAACCTTTTGAAAAAACTATAAAGCACACTAAATTTATCAATAAAATTAATATTTTCTTTAATTCAAGATATTATAATTAATTACATAATATTAATCAAGAAATAGTTAAAAATAATTATTTACTTCATGATTACGTTCTTCTGAAAACATTAGTTCATATTTAAACAACGGACCTTCAGCCTCAACCAAACATTCAGACAATAGCATATTCCATTTTTTATGTTGTGGTTGGTTGCTTGTATACATCTGTTCTATATCAAGTACCAATTTCAATAAATATGGGTGGGTAAAAACCTTAAAACATAATAAAAAAAATATTAAATCCATAAATCCATGTGTGTATATAATGTAATATATAAGTAATTTTTTAATGCAGTGATAGTATTATTTTTAACTAATAAATTACTAAAACTTATATTATTTACTTTTAGCATTCGATAAACCATAATTGAATATCTTGGTGAACAAACATCTATGCAAATGAATCTTTTTATGGCAAGATAAAATAATTTGGTATAACACAATAAATTTCGGATGATAAAAATTCTCCATTTATCATTCATTTCTAATTCCGTGATAGAACATTGCCTGAACAAAATAATAAATATTAATACATTTGAATATATAAAAGTAAATGTAATTTTAATATATTATAATTACTGCTTAGATAAATCGTCATAACGCCAAGGTTGAATATAACAAAGCCAATTTTCAAGCATAAGACGAAATGAAAAATCCTGTGGCCAATTAACCATGTAATATGATAAATACTGATAGATTTGTATACCATGACGAGCCATCAATACTCTGAAAAAGTGTTTAATATACCATTTAATACAATGCCTATTAATTACTAACATGAAATTGATCTTACAGTTTTAAGTTGTCTACTGGCTGATGTTTGGCACAGTTTGAATATAAATGTAAATGTTTTATAAAGCATCTAATCAGCTTTGTTAAATCAATGAATGATGCCTGAAAATATAACAAAAAAAAATATTGTCTTTTATAAAACCAATGGTAATAATGCAATTCTTACTATTGATAATATATTAAAGAATAAAAACAGAACTTTATAAATTAATAATGGTATACTTCTATATACATATATGTCTGTGAGTCCATATTACCATGGCAACAATTTATATACTATTTTGAGATTCCCGATAGAATTTTTTGTATATAAATGGTTGCCATGGTAATATGCAAGACATATTATTCATATAGAGTTGGCATTTTTAATGGGCAACAAAGTGCACGGGATCAGCTACTTTTATGTATATAGATAGATTAGACCTCTGGGCAGAAGATAGGCTAATTTAAAAAAAGAGAGGACCTACCCCGGGAGGTGCCTAAACCGGGATTTTGGGATTTCCGATTGCAATTTTTGTTTATAAATGGTTGTCATGGATTTTAAAGCTATTATTATTGATTTTCATTGGTTTAAAACATATTCATATAGAATTAGCATTTTTAATGGGCAACAAAGTGCACGGGATCAGCTAGTAATTAATAATAATTTAAATCCTTATCCCTCATAAAAAATCATAAAAGTTTCAAAAATAAATATAACAATTAATAATAAAAAGAAAGATTTATGTTTCATGGCATTAGTTGCATATTATAAACCTTCTATTCACTATACCTAGTTGTTATAGACATTTTTAAAATGCTATTTGTCGGGAATCAAAATGTTAAGGTTATAAACGTTAATAAGATACTAAGACCAAAGTACAATACAAATACTTTCTTTAAGGTTTTATTATGATAAAAAGCCTGGTACATAGTTTTTAACAAAACAAGATCATCAAATGAATAATCTGTATAATGAAATGCATTCTCATTCTACAAACCATGCAATTGTATTTTGTTTATTTTTATGTACAAAACAATAACTATCACAACTAAAACAAGCAATAGTTACAGCTTTCAGTTAGAAAATATACTAGCCAGTGGAGTCTTAACGAGTTTAAATTTGATCGTGGAGATTAAATAATAACCACTGAATGGTTAAGTTTTGAGCATTTTAAAATTGTATAATACAGATAAAAGCAGCAATTATAATTTACTTACATTAGTCAATACATTACAATTTAACCATATATCAGCAAAAAAAAATGCTACTACTTCACTACGCCATGTTGCTTCTGATGTTAACATCCACGATGAACTTAAAATGTTTTCGCTTAATAAATCATTAGAAGCAACATCTTTTTTTATGAAGTTCAATAATTTACTAAAACAAAAACACATAATAAACTAAAATTATGAAGTTTGGTAAAGTTAGAGCAATATAAAAGTTAATAAACATTTATTAAAATAAACAAATTAATTTGTTATTATTTATGTACTAAACATACCTTGTACTTGTATTTTGTTTTTGATTAGGAATTGGTGATAAAACATTGAACTGTATTTGGGGTAAAATCATAGAAGCTGAATTATCTAATGGCAAAAAATATTTAAGATACTCTAAGCACAACAATTTGTACACAGATAGTTGATTAGAATCATAATTGCCATTAGAAATGTCATCAGAAGTCAACTTTAACCCATATATTGCAAAATGAAACATATAGTACTCAAAAGAATCTAATGTATAGGTTAAAGAATAATTTCAATACAAATAAAAAGAAAAATCATTATTTTATACAAAACACAAAAAAGCATTTATTTACGGCCATACCCTAAGTAAGGCCCGATTGTTTATGACTTTTGAATCATTTTTTGGAACATCATAGACAATGGTTTCCAAGAAATTTGTTTAATTCAATAAGTATAACATGCAAATTTAAAAAAACTAAATTTTATTTTAATTTTTTAGTTTTTTATTAGCAATTGAGAAAAAATTACAAGCTTATTATTTATATTTTTCAAAATGTAATGGTATAAACAGTGGCACAACTAGGGCTGAAATGTTGGGAGGGGGCTTACATGAAATGTAACCCGTGGGAGTGATGCCCCACACCCCTAAATATGTTCACTTAAAAATATAAAAAAATCATACAAACAAAATCAATTATTTATTTACTCATGTATTTAATTATACCTTATTTTTTTAATATTTATATTTTAATTTTCAAACATTAACAATAATATTTGTTGCTTAATACTTTTATATTATATATTATAATATATCCCCGAAATGAAATATTACGTTTCCTAATAATATTTTAACGATATGTAAATAATAATAATTATTATTAGAAGTAGATTTTACAAGTTTTACTTAATATGGGTAGATAAAATATTTAAAAGATTATAAAATTAAAATATTTTGAATGATCAATACATTAAATAAAATAAATAATTATTAAACAAATAGTTAATGAATGTAATGTCGAGAAAAACGAATGTGCGGTTGATGGCTCCGCTTCTTTTGCCGGCGGGTAATACTATTAGGTAATATCCAAAACAATGCTTCCTAATTAGCCGCCGGCAAAAGTAGGCGGAGCCACCAACTGCACATTAGTTGGGCCGCGACTATAGGTGCCTAATCAGTTATCTTTTAAAAGAACTATTAACAGTATTAACATATGTTGTTTCATATTGTGATATAAAACAAAACAATATTATTGTTTATTATTTATTATATATTAATTTTTTTAATGTAAAGTATACCTATATTATATAAGTTTAATAATATATTTGTAATTAAATATTAATAATAATTACAATAATTAGGTTTTAAAAATGCCATGTGGTTGTCAGTAATATTGTAGTCGGGGGGTAATTTTTCCTAGGGTCGGGGATTTTTATTCCGCTATTACCTATCTCTGTGTTATAGTTCAGTGTTATAGCACTGTAAAATTATGTGTAGTAATTTTTTTTTTGCTTTACACGCCTTAAAGGCGTTTCACAGCTTCTACCAAGTCTCTCCAGTGATCTAAAAAGAACGGATCAATCAGTAGTAATGGAGGAGGCCGATAACAGTGTAATAATTTTACCAAATACAAAATAATTTATATCATACTGACATAAATTGTTTCCTTAAAACGAATACAAGCATACAGCTTATGATATTTATGATATTATTTGCCATAGGCAATATAAAAAAAGTTTAAATAAAAATTAAAAAAATTAAATAATTACCTACATTTTTTCCAAAAAAAATTAAGAAATACAGTTTAATTTTAAAAGATTTGTTAATATTTTAGGAAAGAATTGAATAATTTATTTTGTGGGAGCTATTAGAAGTTTGGGGGAGGGAGAGGGGATAATCCCCCCAGCCACCCCTTAGTTGCGATTATGTGTATAAATATTACTAATAAAGGAGTACAGTTTTATTTATTTGAAAAAATGTTGAGTTCTAAGAAAAGTGGTATAGGTTCAAATCATATTATTCAATGAGTTATCCCGGATAAATCTGTAACTACTTATTTTATAAGTGTAAAAGTGGCAAGTAAGATGAGTAAATTATTGTGTAAAGTGGGCAACTCTAACATATATAAAGTGTATCAAGCCCGGCCCAACGATATGATACGGCCATTCAAAATACCTTAATATCTCCTTAAATAATATTTTTTCTTACATCAAATTTCGGCAATATCATTTTTAATTGTTCTAACTCCAATAATTTAATATTTAATAATTATCTAAAGAAAACATTTTTTTGTTTGTGTGTTAATTTAATTTTACCCACCTAGATATAACGAAAAATACTTAGGATAATATTTTAAATTATTTCCTAGATTAAATTCAGTTTTAAAATTCAAGTTTAAATCAAAATCACTATTATGTTCATAAATTGTAGCTTTTAACTATTAAATCAGTAAATAATTGTATTAACTTTAACAGTTTAATGAGCGTTTTTAAGGTAGTTAATATTTAGGTCATTTTTTTATTTATTAGAGTATACAACAATAACCTACTAATTTGTTTGGTATCATTATAATTGTATGTATATGTGTACAACATAATATTATAAGCCATTACTAACCATATATCTTTGCAATCAATATTTTATAAAAGGATACTCAAGTTTAGTCCAATGGGTGAAATTGAATCAGCATGGTACAAAAATCGTGAACCATAATAAGATGGTCCAAATGATTTATCAATTTTTTGTCGAAGCTCAATCTAAAACATATTTTATTAATTAGGTCCAGAAATGTTCTAATAGGTATGTAATAAATTAATAAACTTACTGGCAAATCAGAAAAGTAAATATTAAATTTTAGCAAATTGCTGGACAGCAACTTGTAGCATAATTTAAAAATATTGCCACTACTAGATAAAAAGTGATACACACTATCTGGTTCTCGATTAATGTATTTTTGTTCATCAGATATCTGTAATGATAAAAATACATAAATAATAAATTATTATTGGGACATCTTTCCAGTCAAAATAGTAAAATATTGACAATCTAAATATGAGATTTTTATTTTGATAGCACAAATAATTACTGAAGAGAAGTTTCACGATATAATATACTAAATACTATTGTTTACTAAACACTACATTTTTAACTTACCAAGAACAAAAATTATTATTGTTTAGATAAAAGATATTAACTGCTATCACTAGCTTTTTGAGACAAAAAAAGTATGTTAGATTAAAATTAAAATATTCTGAATGCATGTATACAACCTCTATAGAAATGTTATTACATGATTGTTTACTTACTCAAATATATTTATTCAACAAAATAAAAAATGATACCTATGAATCTGTGAAACCAAAACTATTAAAAGAAATACTACTTAAAAGATTGATAAAAAAAACTATAAAAAAATTAGGTATTTTTTCCTTACAAAAAATATTTTTTAGGTACCTACATTGAAACTTGAAAATATGCATCTTTGACTAAATGATAATCGTTAGATACCTAAATGTCTAACAACATTCTTATTTTTTTTTAAGTAAATATCTATCGAATTGATAACACCTAGGGTATTTACCTATTAATAAAATATGTTTATGAAAATTTAAAAAACAAGCTACATACTTTTGTCTTCAGCTTATCTAATTCCCATCCTTTATCGGAGCCACGTCCAAAAATTTCAAATACGATATCGGCAAAGATATTGTACAAATCTCTTTCATTTGCATCATCGATGTAGCTTGAAATCACTCTGATCCGCTCGATCAGTGAATAACTGGTCTTCTTCGGGTCTATAGACGCCAACAGTGTTGAAGATAGTGCTGTAGAATAGATATAATTATTAAATATAAGTTTTTCGAGATAACGATTTACGATGCACTTACTAGTATTGGTCACTGGTAGGTTACAGAACAGTGGAGAATGCATGATGTTGGATACGGCAGTCAAACAACGGGAGACATGAACGTTGTACGAGGTTTGGAATCGGTTTCGTACTCACGCAAGACGACTTACTATCGTCAAAGGTATAGCTCACCAATAATTTATGCAATTATTGTTAATGGTGGCTACGGACAAGCGGACGACCAAAAGTTTCAAACGAAAAGCGTTACGCGATGCACAACACCCACAGTTTTTGTTTTGCAAACCGTTGGCGGTTGGCCCCGCGTTATCAGCGGAACGCCATTATCACTCATTATATACAGCCAGGTGTTCTTTTCATGAGAAGGCGATGTTTATAACCGCAAACCGAGTCTAATATGCTTACAACATTACAGTCGGAGTAGTGTCGCATCACGGACTAGATGGTCCCCAAATGTTGAAACCTCCAAACATACCGGTGCATTATTTTTTAGTCTAGCGAATTTCTAGTATAGGTATTACATGGTATTAGCATCCGTGAGTCGGACGGTTTATAAATAAAACATTATATTTGTACGGTAAGGTTGTCCAAACTTCCAAATTATTGGCTGCAAGATAATCATTGTTGCGATGTCAGATATTATGATATATTATAAATTAAAAAATAATAATATATATTATATTATACACAATATAACTAATTAATTAATAGTTAAAAAAATTAAAATTGAATATTAAATAATAATCACAAGAATGGTGGAACCGTTCCATTCTCGTACACATTAAATAAGAATAGCTCTTCAAGCATTGTTTTGCATACATATTTCAGTAGGTACAACTCTAGTCTCAACTAAACTAAGTCTCCTGTGATACCTACTTTTTTTCTGTGCCGTTTCCATTTATATATAAATGTAGGCACTTCACCATAGACATAATAAATAATAATATAATATTCATAAAACAAAAGTATCTAATATCATTACTAGGGCTCGGGACTTATTGAATTTGCATATTTTTATTAAATAGTCCAATAAATTGCTAAGTAAGACAGAAATTTGTTTCAAGTTGTAACAAATTTAAATATACCAAAGAAAAATTGCATATTTTTGCATATTTTGAGGTTTTAATGAAAACACTCATTTTTTCACAATAAACATTTTTTTATGCATATAACATGCTATATTTTAAGTACGACGTATAATATTTCTTCTAATAGTTAATAAAAGTTTTCTGTGCACTATCGAAACCAATTATTATCGATAAATATCATATAAAGATAAGATATTTGAAGAGAACTTTCTGTTTTTTTTTTAAAAAATAGTTTCCTATACACGGCTCGTCATTACTCTGCTAGCAAATGTGAAAAAGGTTTTCCGCAAGGCACCTTCTCGCATTCAATATTTTAAATCAATATATCCCTACCACCAGAACCAATTTTGACAAGATGGGGTACTTGGATAAACGCAGCCAATTACTACTGTGGACATTTTGAGAAAATAAAATTAATCGTAAATTCTTTCGATGACAACGATGCAGTATCAATAAAAAATTCGAAAAAGTATCTCTCTGATCAAAATATTGAAGCCCAACTTGTATTTATTAAATCAAATTTTGGATTATTACCCGATTTAATTACAATACTTGAAAAACAAAAAATTCCACTGGTAGATTCCATTTCTATTGTCGAAGAAGCAAAAGAAAAATTAATTAAAATTAATGATGAAATGTTGAAAACAATTAAAAATAAGATTGAGTCTGTTTTATTAAAAAATAAAGCAGTTTTAAAAATATCAGAGATACTAAATGGAAAAGAAGACACAGATGGATTACCCGAAGATTGGAGTTAAAATGATCTCACGTGTATGGAAAACTGTCCAATAACATCAGTTGACGTAGATCGTTCGTTTTCAGCGTACAAAAATTTACTCACTTCCAATCGACAATCGTTCAAATTCGAAAATATCAAAAAATCTTTAATCGTTCAATGCTATTTCCAAAGTAAAATAATATACAACACTATAAACAGTAAATATAGGTACTTAAAGAAAATTGTTTTAATTTTTCAGAGCCAGAAAACTCGGAATAAAACTTTTTCGAAAGAAACTCTGCAAACTGAAACTTTTGACTATGTATAGTGTAAAAACGTACAAATACTAATTTTTATTCACATTTGTATTATTTAAATTATTAATTATTATTTATTAAATTATATTTAAAATAAAAATAATAATTGAATTACATATTTCAACGCATATTTCAGTACATATAACTTTTTTGTGCATTTTCGATAATATTTTAATGCATTTTTGCATGCATATTTTCATGATTTTCAATGCAACAACTTCCGAGCCCTAATCATTACCAACGTAATCACTAATTTCTATTTCCATGGCACTTCGCTTCCCCCCGAACACCATCCGACAACTTACACAAAAGTCAATTTAGGTATAATGTCTGAACAAAAGGAACAATTGTTTTTCATGTTTTCTTCTTGTAGCATATTTCTATTCTTATTGTGCCCTAGACCCTAGGGCACAGATTGTTTATTTCTAATAAAAAATTATACCTAATATCAAACAATGATAAAAAAAAAGGTGGGCAAGTGGGTGTCACTCTGCTGTACAGTAGGTTACAAGTGGGTCACTATACAGTGGATGATATTAAATTTGAATTCAACGATATAATATCATTGTATAAGCAAAACGATTCTGAGAGGAGACGGTATGTCAGTCTAGGTATAAGACATATTATATACATATCTATGGTACTAAACCAAAATTTGACCTATAATAGGTACCTATAATAAATTCCAAAATAATCATATCACAATATCCATTAGGTACTTATAACGCGTTATACATCAACGAAATCCGTGATACTATCATAGATATATAATAGTACACTTTAGAAGTTTTAAGTACCTACTAATAATATTATTCAATCACAACAAAATAACTAAAATAGTTATTCTAAGTTTTTTTAATATGTAATTTCGTCCAAATTTGAATTTAAAATGTCTGTAAAAAATAACTGTGTTCATATATTTTTTAGATTTTTTGGTTACAGTATGAACTATTTATGAGAACCTTTGTTTTAAATTTGCAATCCTTAGCTATAAAAACTGAACATTTTATAATTTATTAATTACAATGATTGATAATTTTCGAGATTTTGATAAATTTTGTTAAAATTCGATCTTTAAATCCTTATAAAAAAAAACTGTGCCTATGTATTTTTAATATTTTTCAACTGATATTGTAACAATATATCAGGAGCCTTGTATTAAATTTTTACACTTTTTGGCCCAACAGATAAAACTTAATTGATATTTATAGAAAAAAAAACTAAAGAAAATTGAAAGCGGTAAATGTCCGTAAATAGCTCAAAAAGAGTCAAAATATTTTCAAAATTTTATGGTGTATAGGAAATACTAATTTAAACATTCAGTGAAATTTTCATGTATCTACAGTTATTCGTTTTTGAATTACAACAAAATAAGGAAATCGCTACATGAGAAATCGAGTGAATATCCAATGTTGTAAAAATTTGAATTTCAAACGCTCATAAAAATTTAATTTGACTTTCTTATAGACATTTTTTTTTTGATAAAGGTAGATAATCTTATAAGGAATCTTGTATTACATTTTCAAATCTTAGATTTAAAAAGAAACATTTTTACGAACTTTTAACTCAAAATAATTTGCTAATTTTCGTGATTTTTCCATATTTCGTCAATTTTTGAACTTTAAATGCTTATAAAAAAAAATTGTGACTAAGGATTTTTAATATTTTTCATCTGCCTTTGAAACAATATAGTAGGAGCCTTGTATTAAATTTTCAAGCTTTCGCAACCAACAAATAAAATTTTATTGATATTTTTAGAAAAAAAACTAAAAAAAGATGGAAAATGAAAATGTCCCTAAACAGTTCAAAATAAATCAAAATATTTTGAAAACGTCATCGTGTATATAAAATGCAAATATAAACAACCAGTGAAAATTTCATGTATATACATTCATTTCTTTTAGAGTTACACCAAAAACCAAAATCGATTTTTTGGAAAACCGATTTTGCGTAAAAATTCCCGTTTTTCCTTTATTTTTATGTTGTTTTTCCCGGCGCTTGTGAAAACTACTGGGAATTTTTACTTTTGACCCCCAAGGTACCAACTAGATTCACTTTCCTATCAGAAAAGCTACTGTTGAAGAAAATCCAAGCACTGTTACTGTCCTAAAACGTGATGACACACAAAAAAAAATAAAAAAATAAAAAAACACACATCATTGTAAAATCAATACATTCATCGTTTCACTCAGAATCTAAAATATATTATAGAACTTTCAATTTTGGCTGTCAATTTAATTTTTACGAACATTATACATTTATATTTTATACAATATTTACATTATTTCGAAAATAGTTAATTTATTTCTAGTCACTTATAGTGATAAAGGCTGACAGAACATCATCTACTCGTATACAATGATTTTATATCATTAAAATATAAAACATATACCTAATTGGCTAATTATATATCAATATTTATTATTGTATATTATTTGTGGGTACTTTTAATTCATAATGTTTAGGTATTATTGTATTGTTAATAAAATTTTAAAATACAATGTTTTCAACAAAAATTAATTCAACCCACTATTATATTATTTACTAATATGTTATAAAATAAATAGTAGTATAAATATAAATATTATAACAAATAATATAGGTACTAAGTATTAAAAGCTGACAGTTTAGCTCAAGAACATTTTCCTTAAGTAATTATTTAAATTTTTTAAGCTATAGGTACATCGTACATTACAGTAACTTACTCAATGACGAGATACATTCGACACTTAATGAGCCTGTCTGTGCAACAGTGCAATTACCTAAATTCCTACTTTTTTTTATTATTGTATTTACTATTTTGTAATTTTTTTATATTTAAATAAAAAGGTTCTTTTCAATGTACCTAGTGTTTTTAATTTCTGGTTGAAAGTTTATTTCTTTACAATGCAAAGAAGTATTAATTATCACAATAAACATTACATGTACAAACCCCCAACCTCCTTAATAAATAACCCGGGTTCACACCTGGTACATACTAAATATTATATTATAATATGAATTGTACAATATTATTTGGAAGTTTTCAGAAATTTATTATTTAATACGTTTATATGATGATAGGTACTAAAACTGTTTTATAAACGGACATTTGTATTTTAACTGGTAAATAAAATAATTCAAACTATCTGTATGAAGCGAGTATCCGTGGATTTCAAACCGTTTTAATGTCATCATATCAAATATGTACTAATTGTCTGCTAGTGTAAACAAGCAGTTATGTAGATACTATAAAAAAAGTTGGTGTTATATCAATTTGGAAAAGTTAATTATCGTTGACTAGCTTATAAATTCCAGCCAAATCACTATTCACTAATAATAAAGGTAGGTAGATGATTATAATATTTAGTTAATAAATTAAATGTACAAAAATAGCTATTTTATGGAATTTATTATAGGTTGCTAAAATTGTATTGAATATAAACCTAGTATAAATATATTACTAGAAACTCAAATAGAACTTCATAGAAATAAAATGGAACAATAATTCATGTATTATGATATTATTATTGATAGATACTTTTACTATTCTATTTAAAGTAGTTGTATTTAGACATTTTTCTGAGCTACCTTATCTTACAATAATACTATAATAAATTATAGTAGGGAAAGTAAGACAGTTATAACAAATAATATGTTTAAATAATGAATTACCTAATTAATTACCAATAAACAAACACATGATATGATGTTATAAAACTTATTTTTATTCAAATTAGTTATGTATATATATATATATTTTTAATAGTCGTTACTAGTTAAATCAATAAAGTCTCCATAAAATGCTGTAATGGAATTCAGCTTGTGGTTGATAATATTCTGCTGTATTTCCACTTTTCCTAAAAATCTTGCTAACCATAAACACTGAAAACAAAAACCAAAAAATATGATACTAGAAAAAACTCAAACCCGTCAACTGTAACCTACTTCAAATATATTTGTGGTTTTGGGCATATGAAATGCAATACTTGGTGCAATATTTTTAACAATATCAAAAATAGTAAAACCACCAAATTTATAATTCTTGCACATGGATGCAATACTAAAGCTATCATTGATCACATATTCTGGACCACCCCATGGGGGCGACATGCAAATAACATCAGCTTTTAACATTGAACAAATTTCAAAGAAATTCCCAACTATAAATTCAATTTTATGAGCTACACCATATATCTCGGCATTGTTTCGTGCAAGTTTTATTTTATATGGATCTATATCAACTGCTATAACTAAAAACAAATAATTTCTATCAACATCTATATTATACTTTTCTTTTCAAATAAATTAATAAGTAACAATACCTAAATTGGATGTAAATGCTAATTGAATTATATTCCCACCGGCCCCACAAAAAGGGTCCAAGGCAATGTCATTTTTACAACGTTTTGCTATATGGTAACTTAATATTTCTGGACACACAGAATAAAAGCTTTCTGTAAAAAACATAAGTCTATAAAAAAAAAACACAAAAAGAAATTGTGTTAGTGTAAATACCATCATCCAGTAGAATACCATGTTCAAATTTTGAAAATAACATATGCCTCATTGTCCAGTATCTATTGGAAAATCTTTTCCGATTACAAGGCCTATGAGAATATCTTTTTTCTTTGTGAATATGTCCGATACTTTTTGGAGTTGTTGGTCGATCTTGATAATAATTCTAACAAATAGATTTAATTACAGTCAAACTTTTTTTGACAGTGATTCATTTGATGAGTTACACAAATATGGTAGATGCAGTTTAACATTATATATAAAAAATATAATATAATATATAAAATGACTAAATAACCTATTAAAAGATACTAATGGACTCAATATAAGACACTCTTTACATTTGAATAACCTTAATAGATAAACATAGTATTGTATTATTTATGTAGGTATTTAAAAGTTTTATAACTACCTACATAAGTAAAACGAAAAATTTGGAAATGTCTATTTATCTTCATCAGCATGTAACATACAATGTATCTATAATCTATATATATATACAGTAGAATCCGCTTAAAGGGGACATTAATGACAGTCCCGAATGAATGTATTGTATGTAAAACTCTTTGGTTAGTCGGGACAGTCGGGATAATGGGGACAAATAGGTCACCGCCAGATGTGTCATAATTAAACGGATTTGACTGCATACATAAAAAAAATTGGCACATGTGTCGTATGCTATCTACCAACAAATTGATGGTGTCGTATGCTATCTACCATATCTACGTTATCTACCGTAATTCGTATTGACGTATATTTCTATATATTATATATATTTAAAATTCCTTTAGGAATTTCAGAGTTATTTTGTATTTTAGAATTTAGTATGTATGTTCGTTGATCGCCGAGATCAAACGTTGTAGTTGTGTGTTTTTTATTAATTGTAAATTTATGGTTTTATAAAATGAGTACTTTGGGTGAATTATATAGAAAAATTATTTTTAATGACGAAACTTTATACAAAATTAAATTCTGTTGGAGAACAATGTAATGGTGAAATGAAAGAAACTTTAAAAAAAAGCAGGAAACGTGATATAAACGGAGATATTATTATAACAAAATATTTACGATGTAAAAAAAAAGGGTTGTCAAACATGGCAATCCATTCGTAAAGAAAATCCATTTTTTACCTTACATCGACAACAAATAACAATGGAAAAAATAATAGTGGATTAAGTTTATGCGAAATATTTGTAGATTTTTATATATGATTGATTAGGTAGATAGCATACGACACGTATACGTAGATTTTTGTAGATATAATTTTCTTGGTAGATAGCATACGACACGTGTGCCAAAAAATTTATTAAGTTATAATTTAGTTTTAATGCGATCCTTGGGCTTGTTTGCTAGCACTTAATTTTTTGAAATCCGACTCCACAGTTGATAGGTAAACCCGTAAGTCAGAACTCACAGATAGTCTATTGCAGTACTTATTTTTAATGAACGTATATGACGAAAAGGCCCTCTCCACCAATACAATGCTTGTGAATGGTAGTAAAATATTAAATGCTTTGTAGGAAAGCTCAAGATATTCGTTATTCACATCAGCCCAAAAGCGATGAGATTTTTTTTCAAAAAATGCTGCCTGAAGTGAAGAATCTTTTTTCAGTTCAATCAGTTATTCTTTTTCTTGAATTAATAAAAATGCAGATTTGAAATAGTTTTCACTGAAAGGGAACGCAATCCAGTAGTCTTCTTTTCTACATTTAAGGAGGTACTTTTCAAATGCTGCCTTGAGCCCATTTAAATGTTGTTCAATTTGGTCTTTGATGTCTTGTGATAAGTTCATATCAGTTTCACAGAGAAAATCATGTAGTGTTTCAAAAACTTCTGGTTGGTTATTCTCAATACACAACTTCCAAAATTCTAACTTTTTAATAAAAGATTCTATTTTGTCAGTAACTTGGACTGACTAGTTATTAGTATCGATTTCAATATCATACAAACCATTCAGTGGTGGTTTTATGTGAATATAAGATAAAAATTGTTAATGGATTTTTAATAGGTAGGCACATAAATTAGATAAAATAAAGTGCACGTGCCGCTGTTTATAATGATATATTTCATATTATACTCTTATTATACTTATACACACTTATATAATATATTAGGAAAAACCGATTTACAACATTCCACAAAACACAATAACAAATACATCAAATTTCACTTTTTCTGTCATTACGCATTTTTCTTCAAGGACCCCCTAATACCTTCCCGGTTGAGAAACGCTGGTTTAGATTAATGCAAAAAGGGCTATCCTACAAATTATAAGTAGTTTAGTTATGTAGAGTTAAGAGATGTATAACTTATAAACTACCTATGTATGAACTAAAAATTATGAAATTTTGACAAAGCTATATGATATATTATATATTTATATAATATATAATATACATATAACCCCTGTAAAATAGTTAATTTATGTATTATGCAAAACAATAATAGTGACAAGACTAATATGAAATGAGATATGTGAAACATTTTTATACATACTCTATTCTCATCAACATCAATGTAAAATATCCTTTCTGAAGACAAATTAGATGAAAATGATTTGTAACCACTGTCTTCGCAATAATATTTATCTGGACTACCTATTGAACTCTGAAACACAATATATAAGAATTGAATAGTTGTATATAGTTAAAATAATTTAAGGTACATACTGTGTACAATTTTATTAGTAAAATAAACAAAATACACTAACATTTGATTTTGGTGAATAATATTTTCTATTTTGAATGTAATTGGCAATATTATTCTTATGATAATATATCTGTAACGGCTCCATATTATAATGTATAGAATTCGAATTACCCACTTTCAAACCTATATCCTTAAGAGCTGCATTAACTTTATGTACTCCTTTATCGTATAATTTCCTACAATAAACAACAAATTATACTATCTAAATTATCATTATTTTGTTTATAAATATTCTTCAAAGTTAGTAGAATATCCAAGATTTTTAAATTTATATTATTTTAACCAATACTATTAAAAGTATAAAATATTTCTGTAACTATAAAGAAATTTAATCTCAACAAATTTGATTGATCTTTAATTCTATCAAATTCTTACATAAATGTTTCAATTAATACATTTTAAGATTTAATTCAAATAAACATCTGACATTTAAATTAAAACATATGAAGTCAATTCATTATAATGCTATAAAACTTTTATATGGCTATAATGTTTAAACATAGAAACTAAAATTATTTTAGTAATCATAAAAGTTGTTGTACATTTATTCTATTTTAAATGAACAATAATAGTAATAAATTCCTATATAAAAGAAGTACATACATTTTATGATAACATGGCTCATTTTCAACAATTGTAGTGCCTAATTTATATTTATCTGAATGTAAATCAAATTCTTCATCACTATATTTATCGTTTTCTATAATTTCATCATTTGAGTTATCGGGATCTCTATAACAATAACATTTCAACAGTTACAATAGTAAAAATTAAATATACCTGTAATTAGTTTTAAGAATGTGTTGTAATTATTTAAATAATTTAGTTTATGAATATAAAGGTATCTACATTTGATTCAATTTTCACGACTGCTTGGTAAATAAATATTTGAAAGAATAAATATTTTGTGTTGTCTGGAAAAACATAAGATATAGTGAAGAAAAATAATATAATTAACAATAGTAGAGTAGATTTTTGTACTATGATTGTAAACTAGTCACACACCTAATAGTTTAGTTTATTTATTAGGTACATTTGAGTTTTTGTTTTTATTTTTCCATACCATCATATTAACAAAAAAGGTTAAAGAAGATTAGGTTAGAGATTTTCGCAGAATTGTGAAAACATTATTATACATTTTGATAAGTATATATATTTTTTATACTAACTTATTTTACATACACAAAAATACATACTAATATATAAAATACCCATCTGTACAAATTTTTAATAATCTCCATTCAAAATCTTTTTTCTTTCAAGTTTACATCAAATTGTTTAATGTTTATCCATTATTGTAAAAACTGTAAACTATAAATAAATGATTTACTGATAAAAGAAATCTTGATCACCTGTAATAACACTGTATTAATTAAATCAATTTTAATGAAGTATATTACAGTCTAGTAAAGAACTTTTATTTTGTATTTGGAATACTTAAAAAATTATAAAAATTGTTCTTGGTAGGTACTTTGATAATATTATCTTTTAAAACTTTTACCTAATATACAAATATTATGCAGTTATACTATAATAATTATTAATACCTACTTCTTATTATATTTTACATATAGGTACAGTTTGGTCATTCCTAACAAGAAACTATTATCGGGTTTACCGTTTCCAATTTCCATACTAAATTTAATGTCTTTCATGAGTAATAACCACTAGTCAGGTTTTTAGATAATAAACACAAATAGATTTTTTTCTTCTGAAAAAAGTTTTAAGTATAGGTACATAATACCTACATATTCGGATTTTCTTTTTTTAAATATTTAGAATAGGCAGTATTCAAATACAAAGTAAATTTTCAAATACTTTACAAGACTATTACATTGGTTTGCGCATAAAATTTAAATAAATTAACAAAATTCCACACAGTGGATAGATAGGTTTGGAATATAATAATCAATATTTCTTGTTATAATGAGTGTATTTTAACAATATTTTAAAAACCTGATAAACCTAAGAAATAAGAATACTTAGATATATAAAATTCATACTTAAATTAGAGTGAAGACTCAAAACAGTAAAATAACAAATAATCTGATCATAATTCAACTAGGTATTTTTTAAATAATACCTACAAATAAATAAAATACATCTGAACATTTGAATCATAATATAACAATAGCCACCCCCTCACTGGTAAACCTACTAGTTTACATACCTAAATATCTGATTTCCAATCAATGCTGGTAGTACCCATTGGCCATTAATCACACTCATGTCACATAAAGTATAAATAAATCTATTCAGGTAGTGCCTCCAAATACCTATCTTCTTCACAACTTTTCCACAATACGTTTAGGGTGACTTGTCGGGGCGCTGGGGGCTAAGGAGCTCGGCCCCCAATGGGCGATTTTTTTTTAATGTGAAATTGGTCAAATATATTATATATTAGTGATATCTACTTAATATTATGTACCACAGCTACGTTCGACATCTTTCTGAAAAAAACAATTTAGACCCCCTCCCCAAATTTCAAAATTCTAGATCTTTTTCAAGATCTACAAGCCACCATACTCACGTCATAGAGGACTGGCATACACGCTGATTATGGCCGATCGAAACAATAAATTGTACCTTGGCTTGGCTAAATACCGAGTTATATGCATACGCGTAAAAAAAAAAAGTTCGTCTACCCACGCCTCCCCGTGAAAAATTCTGCCGCGGACTCGGTACTCACCTGATGTTGGCCACGAAGCGGCTGCACAACATGCTGATGGTCGACTGAGGCTTGTCGGTCCGTCTGTACAGCACTTCGACCACTTTCTCGGAGCGCAACGAAAAACAAAACGGCCCGAGGTCTAGGTAAGTTGTAGTGGTCATGGCGGCTACTGAAGAGCTTTGGTCGCTACCGGTAATCTCGGCGGACCAAGTCGAGAGGCTATCGCGGGTACAACCGGTGTACCGCGGCAACGGCAACGGCGGCGTTGCTAATTGCCAAGTCCAAGTGCAAACACGACTTCGGTGCACGTCGACCGTCGGTCACAGACTAATCTATGGACTGTGGACCGTGGAGATCTGAGACTATCGCGAAGTGTATCGTCCGTCGGAACCAATGCGAATTATTGCTAGTTCTCGACGTTGCGTACAACAATAATTTACTTCGTCCCGACGAACCGGGCGTCGAACGCGCACGCGCAAACACCCTCACTGTTTAATAATTATTATTGACTACATAGTCTAAATTAAAAAGATTATCTACTGTTTTACCCACATATAGGTGCACACGGAATTGACGCAAATGCTCTAATGTGTGTGCGTCGTGCGAGACTGTGAGCTGAGCGACGACTTTGAGACGGGGCCCGCATGTCGTGTCTTGAGGCGACGTTATGTTTTATTCTCCAATTGCCCCTCGACTTGCCCTCAATCATCATATTTTCGTCTGGTTCTCTTCTGAGTTCGGACCAAGACGTCGAGTATCAAAATCCGATGGATCCAGTGACCGTGGAACTGCATAGACAATAATTACGCGAGAAATGCATCGAGCGCTTATGATATTATACGTATTCAATATTCATGGCACAACAGCATACAGAGCATAATAATAATAATATTATAAATTGTTATCGTATAGGATTCACAAATCAAACTCGTTCCCCGTATTATTGTATTAGTAAATCTTTATCGTTTTTCGGAAACTATAAATAACGTACGTGTACGATTTCTGTTATTAAATAATAATATATTATTTTATTACTGTTGTTATCACCAAAAAATTACCATTTACCACCCGTGCAATCTCCAAGTAGCGAATGACATTTTGGTGCATTTTATTGTTTGAAGTAAGGCATAACGCCGCAACTGCACCAGTTAATATACAGACCAAAATTATTCAAAGTATGGGAAATTTGAAATAGAGTTAGCAATATTATTATATTTTAAAAATTATAAATAATATATAATAATATACTAAATACTTATCTCAGTATTGCATGTTCTTGTCTTCTTAGTAATCAGTAATAACTAATTAAAATGTAATATACTCGTTCACAATAATATAGTCATATAAATCACACTCGATATCAGTATCTTCTCTGATAGAAAAGTGAACGTGAACCTAGTTGTTTCTTTTGGGAGGTAAAAATAGAAAATCCCAAGTAGTTTTACTTTTACAGAGCGTCAATAAAAACAAAAAAAGTGGTAATTTTTAAAGTTCCTAATCAGTGGCGTAATTTTTTCAAGGTGGTATAACCATTTGTGTCTGTCTGGTTTTACAAGCAGCCAGATGGGCCGGTGCCCGGTCGTTGCCATTATTACATTTAATCTTAGATTTAAAAAGAAAAATGATTATGAATTTCTAACTCAAAATAATTTGCACATTTTCGTGATTTTTACACATTTAAACTTTAATTTTGTCAAAAACCGATTCAGCGTAAAAATTCACGATTTTCCGGGCGGTTTTCCTTAATTTTTTTTTTTTCGGCGCTTTTGAACATTAATGGAAATGTGGACTCCAATGCACCAACTAGATTCACTTTCCCATCGAAAAAGATACTGAAGTTGAAAAAATCGAACCATTATTTCAAGTTGAAATTTTCAACTACTTGTCATGTAAACAGACACAAAAAAAAAATTAAAAAAAACACACATCATTATTGTTTAAATATTTATTAGAATAAAAGTTATATTGTTTGTCAGATGTTACACCTTCTATATAATATACATATAATGTATAATACATCGTGACCTAGAGAACGACACCATAACAATATTATTATAACGTATTATGTCCTTATAATAGTGCGGGCGAGTGTGTGCGTAGTGAACATGTCTACACGTAATGCTTTGCCCGCATGCTGCGAAATACAAGCATTTTTTTTTTCTCAATTCTCCGCATGTGTACGGACCAGCTATAGGACATGAGTGTACACAACAAATATTGAATATAATGTGACGTACTGTGTACGATAATATTATTATGTCTGCATGATTGCGATAAATAACTTGTCCCGAATCCCGATTATCTGATTATTAAATTATACATTTATATTTTATAAAGGATACCTGGGTACCTACTTGGCTACTTCCATCGACGCTCAGTACCTACGTCCTATTATCAATACGATTATCGTCATTCCTCTGTCTGTCTACAATCTACTATAGTACATACCATGGACTAAGAAGATATGGACTGGTCACGACATGGTAGGCGGGTGGTAGAGGTAAAGTCAGTAATTAGTAATAGTTCATGGTACATACCATACAAAATATAAGTCATTGTTTACAACTTGGTATTTGGGAAATAAATAATCATAATTAACTTTGTCCGAATATTGTGTGCTCTGGAGTCTGGATACAGACATACAGTGCGCACTCCCAGTAATTGTATAATGTAATTGTAATTGTATACAATGACCGATTTTTCCACTTGGACCGTATAGTATTAATGTATATTGTATGTATATAACTATATAAGTATTAAGTGTATAGTCATAAATATTAATTTTCCCTTCAAAAATGTAACTGTATATTAAAAAGTGTATAGTATGGTCATTGGTCGTACAGTAATTAATAATTAGTAATATTTTGGTCTTTAAATTTATATATTATTAAGCGATATATTTAATACAAATAAGACTTTCACAGTTTCAACCTGATCACAACTTAGCTTCAACTAAATTTTGATAAAAATAGTAGCCCCTTAAGATAAATCTCTGTTTGGGCCTGGACATGATTTATTGTTGGAAACATTGATTTCATATTTTCATAATACATTTACATTATACATATTTTTATACACTGTGCACAATATTACAATAATATGTCTCACGCTTATCGTAGACGATAATTGAAACTTGACTCTCGATCCACCTGCTAGTTACTATTTACTTTGGTCTCAAATGTCAATGTTCCAAGAATATTGTTTTGTATAGGGTTTTTCTTTTACGCACATAATAATATGAAGAAGACTATATTGAAACGGAACAAAAAGGGTCCCGTACTGTTCGAAGTTTATCGGCACTATATAGTGGACAACTATATAGACAAGGAGACATGGTGTTCAAAAAAGCGACAATCAGTGAATCCGTTTTAATAATCTAGCTATTGATTATTACAATCTAATATTTCATAATTAACTAATAACTATAATATATAATATGGCTTTATAAAATACAGGTAATTCGAAACAATTTACAGAACATACCTATATAGTAGATAATAATATATTATATAATAAAGACGTATTTATTGATAATTAATTATTATGGGTATATATATATTTTGCATTGCAGTGTTATACAAATTATTGCATGTGCTATGTAGCAGTAGGTGGTTTAAAGAATATGCTTCTCTAAAATGTTAAATTAATACCTGCATTTATCATTCTGCATTACTGATTCAGTCCAACTAATAATACAATTACAATTAAAATTAAATAATAATAAAAATATTATCTTCATAATATTTAAATAAAAATCTAACCTATTGAATGTTAGCTCCTTATTTTTTTATAATAGCTAATAAGAAATGTACGGATGATGTCATACAGGGTTGAAGGCACAAAAGTGTTAAGCCATACACAATTTGGCTAATTTATATAACAAATCTATATTGGGACTTGGGAGTGTGATTATTCCCCGTGTGCCTACTCTTAAATTCGATTATGAGTGTAAAAACAATATAATATACAGATATAGCCATAAAGGTACGACCGGACAGGCACGACATTACAAGATTACGATAGATCTCAATTTGTTGTAAACCACTACCCCGCTGATCACACCCATGATAATAATAATATGTGATAAAAGTATAAGACAACAATATTAATTAACTATATTATTGTTATTATAGTTGGCTGAAAGTTTATTTTTGGACAGTTTCCGAACAGTCGCCACTCGTAGATTACTGATTAGATAACGGAAAAAAGATACGATCGAATAAACCGAACATTTTTATTTTGAGCTCAATCATACAAACACGGACGGTATCTTGTAAATTATATTTTCAATAAATTGTTCCATTTTAAATAATGGTTAAACGTTATCGTCTACTTCGCGCTTCACTTCGCCGCGACTGTCATTTATATATTTCAACACTATAATGGTACCTTTGTGTCGTACCTAGGACATCGACAATTTATATTCAGTGTTTTATAGTAAGTACATCGTATTATTATTTATTCATTGACCAAAAATTTCATTTTTAATAATAATAATCATGATTATATCGTCCATAATAAACATTTTTCCATAAAAATAAGTACCAATACGCGGGTTATAGAGATATTGTATACATGTATTAAAAATATTGTACACCATAGACAGAATACGATTGTCAACATTATATTCGAAATTAAGGTTATAAAAATACAATTTAATCGATGTTTTATGTGGAAAACCGTACATCCGTACCAAAAGCGACCGACAGCTGTAACATTTATTGCAATTTCATTCGACAATAATTTCTTTTCATTTGCCATTTTTTTGCGTGTCATTATATTTTAACTGCTCGCGTTAATTAATTTTCCGTAAATATTTTTCATTCTTGATTTTTTAGACTACCATTTCATAATTTCGTAATTAGGTAAGTAATAATATCTAATAATATTAACATGTCATTATGACGCCTATACAAATACAAATAATGTAATTTAATTACTTAATTCAGTAGTATATAATCTCGAGACCTATAAATAGGTACTTCTTCTATGATAGATTTACCAATTTTTTTGAGTTAGATCATTTCAATTATACCTCATCTATTAAATAGACATTTAGCTGTGTACATATTACATGTGCATATAATATCCATCTTATTTATTGAATGCTGAAATGTATACCTAGCTACAATTAACCTACAAACAGTAGGTACTAGCTTATAAATTATAATTAATACCATACATAATTAAAAGTTTGTAATATAATATTTTAGGCTGTACTCATCAGAAATAAGGATAGATCTGTTTTGACCTGCATTGATATGGTATTATCCTATGCCACCTAGCCGCAAGTTATTTCCATAAAAAAATAAATGTTAAATAAATGTATAAAATTTAACAAATGAAAAACACGTTAATTTTATAAATATCTCTTTACATATGGTTTGCTTTGAACTAGCTTCATAAATTTGCGGCTCCCAAAATTAAGATTAGTGGCCACCAATGCCATATAGGCTAAATTGTATAGGTGCAGTGCTGCAACTTTTAACTCTTAGGCCAAGGTGCGAGGGTTTATTTTGAGACCCAGAATTAATATTATTTTGTACCTAACTATTAAAATTAAGTTAAAATTTAGTTAAAGTTAATTTATTTGTTACTTTTCATTAACCATCCAAACAAATCAAAATCAACGTTATCCACTCTACTAATGAAAAATTAATATAACTGAAAAAATAGGTCATCGTCATACGACTTTTTATAGCAAAATTGTTTTTTATATACTTAAAATACCGTGTTATTACTATTAAAGTAACTCATTTTAATATTAGTACTACAGAAGGTCGGTTTAATTGTTGACAAAAACATTGCATTTATTGTATTAATTAATATTTCATTATTATAACAGTGTATTTCTACATATTATATTATTATTGTTAATCAATTTTGAGTCAATACCCCTTTCTGTAGGACAGTATGAATAGGTTCAAATAAGTAATAACTTAAAATTTAAAATTAATATAAATATTTTAAAAATGTCTTATGCTGACAGGTTAACAGTTACACAAATACCTAATGTTTTTGAATTACAATAAAATAATTTTAACAATTTTATTCTTTGTTTAAATATCTAATTTCATCATTCAATTTGAACCTAAAATGTCTATAACAAAAAAGTGTGTTAAACTAACTGGGTCTCGGTGCCAGTTTTTCAAATTTTTCACAATTCTATAAAATTTTATATTTTAGTAACCACCTCAATTATAAGACTTTTCCACTAATCTACTACCCGATACCTATTTAGGGGGGGTTGATAGGGTGTATTATATCGAAATAAAATGACTTTACGGGAATAACTCTCAAGCTTTGTAGAATTGTCAGATTTTGATGACTATTTTTTATCTGAAAGAAGAAGACTTCCTACAGCCTGAATCGATCTCTGATTTTGTATTTTATTTCAAATAATTGTATTAAAAAATTTGTAACAAAATGCTTTTTATATTGTATTTTTGTATACATATTATAAAGTTTGAGAATAAAATATTGAAAACAGAGATCGATGTGGGCTGTAGAATATTTCCCTCTAGCAATTAAAAAAAAAAAAATTATAGAATTTGATTGATTCTACAAAGCGGTATCGTTATTCCCGCAGAATGTATTTTTGAGGACAAAATGGCATCGGCACTGGGCGCCTTAATATATTATTTTAAAGTTTAACAATATTAACTACTTTTGAGAAACATTGTTTTAAATTTTCAATCCTTAGTTAAAAAAAATTGAGTGTTTTATACATTTTTATCAAAATTAATCTTTAACCGCTATAAAAAAATCATGCTTGGGTAGGTATACCAATAATAATTTTAAACTACTATTAAAATAACTTATTACGAACCTTTTACTACATTTTTAAGCTGTTTGACATGGAAAACATTTTAATTGATATTTATAGAAAAAAAAAGCTACAAAATGTCAAATGTCTATAAATAGCTCAATAAGAGTAAAAATATTTTTTAAATCATTACCATGTAATGGCATGTATAGAAAAAAACTTTTATAAATATTTGGTGAAAATTTCAAGTATCTATGGACTTATTATTCTTTGTTATTCTTTTTTTAATTACAACATAATAAAAATATTGTTCCATGATAAATCACAAATCTATGGATGAATATCTAATGTCGAAAAAATCTAACTTCAAACTCTGATAAATAATTAATTGACTTTTCAATAGATATATTTTTGTTTGTTAAAGAATAAATGTATGCGGATTTTTGTATTAAATTTTCAAATCTTAGATATCTATGAACCTTAACATTTGAAACAGGCAATTTTTAATTTAAGTATGGCTTTTTGAAGGCCTCCTAGAGTTGCATTGCACACCTTGCATTTTCAATTGTTGTGGCACTGTATAGGCCTGTAATAAAATGTAATAATTTGTACATGTTTATGATGTTATTTTTAAATTGATTTATAGTTACTAGACTTTTTAATTAACATAGAAAATTAATTTTGGTTATTAAAATAATATACATGCTGATTGGATATTAGTAATATTGTAACACATTAACATCTCAAAAGTAATAATAATATGTAAACTTGTGTAGCATTGATATTGTAGTTGGCGATGCAGTTGATTTAAATTAATTGATTTTACACTTACATTAATTTAAAAGTTAAAACTACCTATCTAATAAAAAGGTAAATTATTATTAGTATTATCTGTTGTTAAGAGGTTTAATAGTTTATTTATTTTTATTTTAACAACTAAATTTATAATTATTTTAACCATTGATAAAATTAATTATTTTTTTCAGATTTTTGTATTTTGTTGTCTTACAATTTGTCAAAATATGCCTTCCAATTGTAATGAATCAATAAGGTCATGTGCATTTTATAGACCGCCTCACTTGCGAAATGCATGTCCTACAAATTTGGTTCCTACAACCAAAGTAGAAACTGTAGATTCAGTGAACAACAATACTATCAATTGTGTGAATAATAATAATGCAAAGGTATAAAAAATATATATCTATTTACAAGGAATATGAATTAAGTTAAAAGTTTATTTGAATATTATTAGTATCAATAGTTACTAGATGGGTAAATAAAAAAAATATATATTATATAATATTGTTTTTAGTGATTTACATTTTCTGCATCTTACAAAGCACTAGAAAAAATATAAATAAACATTACAATAATAATCTTTGGTAGTTGAATATTTTAAATGATATTGTAATTTGTATTACAACCTTGTTTTATGATTAATTAAATTTTATTTGATACTATTATTTTGCAATTATGTTCCTTTGTGGTATTTAAATTTAAAAAAAAATCAATATATTTGAAATTTATTATTTAGTTGTTGTGTTAGGTGGCAAGTTATAAAATACTAAAATATTGGATAAATTTAAAAAAAAAAAAAAAAAAAACTGGACAGTTAAACGTCCCAAAAGCTTTTGTCGTGACACCGTGACAGACTTAAAATATGGAACTTTCCTGTATAAAACGGGATCTCTTACCACCCTATCGTTGTACCTATAATATCATCTACATATTTAATTCTAATATATGAGGGTTATTTATGTTGTTTTTTTGACTGAAAAATATGTTTTCATTAAGTACTTTTTAAATTCTTCATCATAATGTTATACTACATAACGTAGTCTACGTTATTATGCTAGGAAGTTTCCCTTCTAATAGTTAAATAGTATATCAAAATGTATATAATATATTGAATTATTGATGAGGCAAATACTACAAGCATATCTTTTTAGATTTTTAATTGCTTAGATTAATTTTTACATTTTAATTGATTAGATATTATAGTTGACAGTATAATATATTCTTATACCTATTTGAATGTTTTTAATTTAAGTATTATGTCTCATAAATAATGAAAACAATTTTAACTGTCTTTAACAGTTACCGAATTTGCAAAGTAAAGGGTTATGTACCAAGTTATATGTACCACCAGCTAGACGCAATTTGAACAATGTGACCAATGTGGGTCTCTCTAAGTATTTTGATTGTAAATTCAAGGTATGTACCTACGTATAATATACTAGCTGTAAATATAATATTCTCAATATTTAAAAATCAGTAATTGTTTTGATAATATGATAGTGTTTATTGTTCTTCAACACAATATGTAAAAATGTGTTTAATAACTTAAAAATTGTGATTATATATTCTAAATAAATGTATAATTTGTTTAGTAAATTTCTGTAGATTCTTTATAGATTACAGAAAGATCTGACGCGTTTCAAATACTGAATGTTGACTGATTATACCTACAATTATTTTAAATAATATTAATCATTAAAATATTCAATTTTACTTTAAATTTAGGGAACTCGCACAGAATATTCAAAAAAGCTTGCAGAATCAACTACTGTGTATGTTGGACATTTAAATTTGCTTTCTACTGAAGCGGATGTCCATAAGCTATTTTCAGAGGCAGGAAAAATAAAAACCATTATCATGGGTTTGGATAAACAAACTTTATGTCCTGGTGGATTTTGCTTTGTTGAGTATGTACACATAATTATTAATACTTAACAAGATATTTAAAAAAAAAAAAAATTGGGCAATAAAATATTTCCAGAAAATTCATTTTGAAGTTTTAACTATAAATTAATTAGTAGTGAGTTATGGACTCAAGTCTAGATCTCATATCAACACATCTATAAATTATGATGTGTTCAATTAATGCTGGCAGAGGTAGATTTCCCATTAGGCAGGGTAGGCAACTGCCTTGGGGGTCAAATATAGGGGGCGTCAAATTCTGCAGTGGCTTATTAAAATACATTATACTTAAAAACAATTGAAAATGAAATATTTTATATTTACAAAATATAATTGTTCAATAATGTTTAATATATTTTTGTTTATATATTATTATTTTAATGTTTGTGGTATATCTAATTTGATTCGTTATAATTTATAGTCATAATTAATTCCTAAAAATAATCCACAAGTTGTATGTGTAATATTCATTGTATAGAAAACAATTTTTGATAATACTAAATTTACATGTTGTGCTCCGATGTTAAGGTTGGCGTAGAGTCCGCATCGCTACATTAAAAATACCTCGACTTTATAATATATTACTAATTTGATAATCCTGGAGGTATTGCTTTTTTTATGAACTGTCTTGTTTGTAGGGTTTGAATAACAATAATCAAAAACTTGAGTCTGCAATAAATATTATATTATTTTCCATTTGTTCAGTCTGTGATTTAGTGACAGTGGTGTGTGTGGTGTGTTGTGACATATTATATATATATATATATCAATATTATTGTAATAGTAACTGAACCAACGTGGGCTAGAGGTTAAATCTAAACATTTCACAAATTAAAATATGTGACTTAATATGAGTTTTTCACGGATAACACAATTGTAAAGCTTCCACAACTAAATTGATTTGTTGGAAATCTGAGACTTGCTGTATTTAGTATTTAATATATATTTTTTAAACAGTTACAATAGTGATTTATATATTAATTAATCATTGTTTATAAATTAAAACTTATTTAATTTTTTTTCCAATGAATTGTATTTAATTAATAATGATACCTACTGTGTTTAGGTATGAAACAAGAGCCGAAACGGAATATTGCATGAAAACTATGAATGGTATAGTATTGGATGGGAAACAGTTGTTAGTCGATTGGGATGCTGGATTCATTGAAGGACGTCAATATAGCCGCGTTAAAAGAAATCAACAAAGGTCCTATATGCATCCAAACACTAAAAAGTAAACATTGTTAGTAATATGAACTATTTATTCCCTACCTATTGATTTATTTATTGTTAGCCAGTTATTTCAATTTGCAATATTGTTATATATAATTTTATTGTGATTCGTTAGATTTTTAATTGGGAAATAAAATATACTATAAACTAGCGGTACAACCTTTTTGAATGGCAAACTGAATCTGAGATACTTTTTGACATGACGTCACAAAATTATTTTGTAGGTGGTATTATTTTTAAGTGGTAGAGTCAAAAATGTAATGAGATTATGAAATAAAAATAATAGAAGAATTATTTAATAATTTCACAAACAAAAATAATTATTTAACTATTTTTATTTTATTCAATTTGACTAAATTCACCACTATAACAACTCAGATATATATAAATATAACATCATGCAGTTAAATATAAAAATATTAGTTTTGCGGATCGGTTTAAAAAGCTTAACAGGCCAGAGCTGGCATAAGTTTGTGGCCCCTGCTAATAAGTATATTTATATATTAAACTATATTTTTTTTATGGGCGACAAAGTGCGATCAGCTAGTATTGTATATTGTATTATAATATAATATAATAATTAATATGTATTATTTTATTTATATCCACTGCATTCGCTGTGATCTATATTTATATCTATGGTACCTAAACATTTTTAAGTTAATAAATATTGATTTTATAGTTAATTTTTAAATTTTATTCATAAAATTGGATGAAAATAAAATTTTTTAATTTCTTAAATTTATAAACATTTAATTATTGCTTAATGTTCTAATCATATTATTTAATTAAAAATTAAGTTATGACTAAAGATTTACAATTTCAATTAATATTAATATTTAAAAATATTTTTTTTTCTATTGCAATTAAAAACAATTAACTTTGAGCTAGTATTCTTAATATAATTGAAACTATACTCTGTGTCAAAAGAGAATAATTAATTGGCTGGCAGTTCTGCCCATTTCCAAAGTGTTAGCCTGATCATGTGGATCTTGACCGCCAATCACATAATTTACAGTACGCACAAAATTATGGTTCTCTTTTGAGTATACAGATTGCTTTATATTGGTTTTATAATATGTTGATACTTGTTTTTAAATTAGTATGATTGAAATTAATGTCAGTGGCATAATATAATATGTATGAAAAGTATCATGAATGTCTATTATTTTCCAATATTTATTCAAAATTTAATATTTTTTCAGATAGATTCTCATATCAACAACAAAAAAGAGGAATATAATTTATTATAAGGAGAGCATTTTATTTTAGTGACTACATGTAATTTTTGCTCTTAATTATCTATTTCTGTTTTATAAATATTTATATATTCTATTATTAAATTTTTTTTGAATTTACCATCTTATGAGAAAGTATCATTTAACAACTAAGTTTGTGTCATCCTAATAAGGCCTTTTAAAATATTATTTTAATTTTGTTCTTCTAAAATATATATATTTGTTTTTTTTTATAATTATGACTATATTGACACAAAACTGTATAATATATTAATATACATTATAAGGAAATTGTTAACTTTTCTCTTAGATATAGATTTTGTGTTAATTAATCAGTTCACTTGTTTATTTTTTCAAGAACCATGATGGTGAAAAACAGAATTTGTGTGTAATTATACTACAGTTTTAAAATGAAATAAATTGTTTTTTTATAGAAATTAATCTTTTTAATATATTTTGATACGTTTCAAGTATAAAAAAATTGTAGTGTATAAATTATGGTTTTTTAGAGTTTTATTTGGTATTACTGGATAAGTCATATTTTTCATTAATTTTATATACTAAACTAACATAGATACATTACTAACAGACAATGGCATGGCAAACTTATGAGGCAAAATAATTTATATTAGTAATTTTATATACTTATATAAGTGAATATGTATTTATGTAAATGGTAACTGAGAGAGATTGGCATAGTCTTAGGGTGTACTTAAATAGTAAAATTATTTATCATAATATGCCAAATGCCCTTAGTCTTTAGGACACCTACCACCCTTTAAACTGAGGCACGTGCCTCAAATAAAGTTCCTTGCCATGCCACTTCTAATAGCCATACCGCTCCCAGTAATGAGAAAGTTATTTACTCATAATGTGTTTTTCTATTTTGATTGTGGTCTTAGTGTTCATACAGTTAGAAGTAATAATATACTAAACAAATTACAAAATATCTTAAAAATAAAAATTTTTAAATACTAAGTGATTATTATACATTTATACCTAGTTAGTCAATGTGAACAAAATAATTTATTTTTGTAATAAAAATTTGTCAGGCATATAACATCATTGTGTTGCCTACACAAATGTTTGATGGGCATTATTTGTCTATATTTCCTCTATAATTATATAATATATTATGTCTTGCTTCACAGCTGTCAGATAGATGCAATTTGAAGTTTGGTGTAATAATTAATTATTTTATAAATACACAATCTTTAAAATTAATAGTAATATGTACTATCAATAATAATAGGTATATATTAAAAAGGGCTGTGTGTTTATTTTGCTAATGTGACATGGTTAAAATATGTATTTATTTGTTTAATTCTTAGTATTTCTTTCAATACCGACTTAACATAATTCATTTTTACTTGTCCTTCTATTATTTTTTTTGTTGTAATAATGTCGATTTTAATTTTTCTTCTATAATCCGTGTCATAACAACTATACAACATTTTAATTTATTTAAATATATTCCGCCACTGACAAAAAACAAGAAATATAAATCTAAACTTTATGTGCTTAAATAAAAGAAATTGCGGCCCAGTATCTACATATCAAATTTTTATTAAGTATAGGTAGGTACTTACCTGAAAAATTGGTGCTGAGTTTACAATAGTCCTTACCATTTACCAATGTATATATAATTATTGTCTTTTAACCATAATAATAATATCTAATGGTTCTGATAAATTATAATAGGTATACTTCTGTCAGAATAGTGATGAAATAAATTAACCCATGGAAAAAATAAAAATGTGATGTATTTTTTTATGAAATACTATATACCTATGTGATGACATTAATAATAATCAACAAGTAAACTAGGTAAGGTACCTACCTATTTAACAAAATATAGTTTCTATACCTATATGTGTAATCAAGTTGAAGTTAAAAAAATTATCTACATGAATAATATATTGAAGAATTATTATTAATAATAACTACCTATCGTATGGTAGGCAATAATAGGTACTACTTAAAATCTATACAATTTAAATTATATTAGATAATCCACTTTCATTATGGTAAGTACCAACTTCAGAACTATAATGTCCAAGGTAAATTTATATTAAGAGATAATGTAAAAAAAAATATTTAAATTTATATAATTTAAATACCTACAGATATCTACAACCTACCTACCTATTATTTAAAATAGAATTAGCAATAACATGAATAAATTTGTAATAATTATTATTTCTTCTTAAACTGTTATTAATATATTTAAAACTTATAAGTATTATAAAATGCAAGTTGTAAGTTTCTATTGAAGCAATTGATGAAACTATAATCGTAAACCTAGTTATTTAATGTAGGTAGTAGGTCGGTTATGCCTAATTTACCACCACCATGGGAGGATTTACCCCCAGATATGTTCTATAGTATACTTACTAATAATTAATAAATAATACTTAGGTTAACCTCATATAGTCACACCACCTCAAAAAAACACTTGAACTCTATGAGGAACAGAATTTCTACTGGCTAGTCAATGGGTTTGTTTTCTATTCGTTCTCTCTTGGACCCACTACACTTACAACTTAAAATGTATTCAGGTAAAATTATTTTTTACGACTTTTGAGTACCTACCAAATCTTAGAATAAAATCACTGATTATAAAAATTAAAGGGAATAATATTTTTGAAAGATTGACCTAAATATTGTCTCAAAACAACGTAATGTAAATATGTAATATTCATTTAAATTCACAACATTCTTTATTAGTAGTCAAATCTAAATAAAAAACTTCAGTATCTTGTTCAATTGGAAAGTGAATATCGTTGGTGCATTAGGGAGGTCAAAATTTAAAAATTCCCAGTAATTTTCAAAAGCTCCAAGAAAAATTAAGGAAAAACGGGAATTTTTACGCAAAATCGAATTTGTTTATTGGTGTAACATTAAAACAAATTTTCACTGGTTGTTTTTTTTATTTTATTTGTTTCTGTGTACAGTTGTACACGATAAGTAGTCGAAATAATGCTTCGATTTTCAACTTCAGTATCTTGTTCGATTGTAATGTGAATATCGTTTGTGCATTAGGTAGGTCAAAATTTAAAATTCCCAGTAATTTTCAAAAGCGCCAAGAATAACAAAAGAAAAATTAAGGAAAAACGGGAATTTTTACGCAAACTCGATTTTTAACAAAATCAAATTTGGTTTTTGGTGTAATTTTAAAACAAATGACCGTAGATACATGCAATTTTCACTGGTTGTTTATATTTGCATTTTCTTTACACGATAACATTTTCAAAATATTTTGATTTATTTTGAACTGTTTAGGGACATTTTCATTTTTCATTTTTTTTTTAGTTTTTTTCCTAAAAATATCAATAAAATTTAATTTGTTGGTTAAAAAAACTTGAAAATTTAATAGAAGGCTCCTAGTATACTGTTCCAAAGGCAGATGAAAAATATTAAAAATCCTTTGTCTCAGTTTTTTTTCTAAGCATTTAAATTTCACAAATTGACAAAATATGGAAAAATCACGAAAATTGGCAAATTATTTTGAGTTAAGAATTCGTAAAAATTTTTCTTTTTAAATCTAAGATTTTAAAATGTAATACAAGATTCCTTATAAGATTATCTACCTTTATCAAAAAAAAAATATCTATAAGAAAGTCAAATTAAATTTTTATAAGCGTTTGAAATTCAAATTTATACAACATACGATATTCACTCGATTTCTCATGTAGCAATTTCTTTATTTTGTTGTAATTAAAAAACGAATAACCGTAGATACATGAAAATTTCACTGAATATTTATA